GACTGACCCTCTAATTCTTCCCTTCCTTCCTTCCTTCCTTCCTTCCTTCCTCCCTCCCTTCCTTCCTTCCTTCCTTCCTTCCTCCCTCTCTCCCTCCTTCCCTTCCTCTCTTCCTTTCTTCCTTCCTTTCTTTCTTCCTTCCTTCTTCCTTTCTCTCTCTCACTTTCAGTCTTTTTGGAAATTGAAAAAAGACTTAATGGAGATCTGAAAAAATTTTCCTAAAAGACCAAACTTTTCCAGAAAATTGTAGCTGCACAACACATTTCATTTATTATATTATTGCATGAATTAGACACAAATATAAAAACCAGAAGTCTGGCTGGTGTGGCTCCATGATTGAGTCAGCCTATGAGCTAAGAGATCATTATTCAGTTCCCCATGTAGGCACATGCCTGGGTTTTGGGCTCAATCCCCAGTGTGGGGCATGCAGGAGGCAGCTGATCAATGATTCTCTCTCATCATTGATGTTTCTATCTCTCTCCCTTCCTCTCTGAAATCAATAAAAATACACTAAAAAAATAAAAACCATAAAATAATCCATCATTCAACAATCTGAGCAAAGATAAAATGCATCTTTCCTATTTTTAATTTTTCTTTTGTTTATTGAATTTTAATTTTTTTCCTGCTATCGATAGAATGCTTTCATTTTAAAGTTCTCATTTATTTTCTGAATGTTCACTTCTTTTTTTTAATTGATTTTTTTACAGAGAGGAAGGGAGAGAGATAGAGAGCTAGAAACGTCGATGAGAGAGAAACATCGACCAGCTGCCTCTTGCACACCCTCTACCGGGGATGTGCCCGCAATCAACGTACATGCCCTTGACCGGAATCGAACCTGGGACCTTTCAGCCCGCAGACCAACGCTCTACGGCTGAGCCAAACCGGTTTCGGCTGAATGTTCATTTCTTGAAATAGCATATTCTTTCACAAATACAATATCTTCAGTCTCTGGGGATACTAATGATTTTTTTGGTCTTGATTTATTTTTCATGCACAACTTGTTTCCTCCAAGTTATTTATTTATACATATTTTTCTGTTTTCTTATGTTGGGTTTTCATATTAAAAGTTTTCTTCATACATCTGGTGACTTTGTCCTTCTGCTTGTACTTGAGAATGACATTAATGATTCTCTAGAAACTCTCTTAACTTGAGCATGGTCTTTACCAAGGGTGATGCAGCTGGCCCATTTCCTTATGAAACTCTCATGTTAATATCTTCAAGTTTTTCTCTCTTTGACTTATCAGAAACTTCAGAGAAGTTCTTTTAGTTTCCTTCAGGCAAGATACATTCAAGCCTGCTAGGTTCTGGAAGCTGAATGAGCCAAGTGAGGGAAAAAGAACCTATGGTCTAAATATTTAATAAACTAAATAGTTAATAAACTTGTGCTTAATTGCCGTGTTTCCAGTATGCTATCTCCATCTTTAACTGTGTTTAATGTCCCTCAGTAACAAAGACGGCAGAAACAGCAACTGGGTAAGGATAAAGTTAAGAATGGCTAAGAAGTGTGCCAGATGTTTGATCCAACCAGTGGACATTGCCTGAATATTAGTTTCTTTCCAGTCCTCCAACTCCTTATATTTTGTAACCACATCCCACTGAAGAATTAATTCATCCGCTTAGTAATCAATTCTAGTGGTGGGAGTGCAGGTAGGCAGCTGCTGCCTATGTGTTCCAACATATGCCAGGTGGCTGTGCAGAGCTCCCCTGGGCATTAGAGGGAAGAAAGAAATTAGTTATAGAGCTGCTAATCCCTGCCCCAACAGCTGGAAGATGGAGAGCTCTGTGCTGGTTCTCTAGAACAGGAAGGAAATTCTGAAAGCCAGAATGTGAAGAGGAAGCTTAAGAAGGTCCTTGTGTCTGGTGTACTTGTGGGCTTTGCAGAAATGGCAATGTTCAGATGCCTTCCAATACATAGCATCAGGCACAACTTTGAAGACCAGCATATGAGACTCCATTCAGGGAAGGACAACTCCACGAATGAACAGATTTCCAAGACAGGAGTACCATAGGGAAGATTAAGGCAGGCGAAATTCTGTAGTACAGATGGAGCTTCTCCCTGCATTCTTGCCAGGGGAAAAAAGAGTTACTTCAAAGACTAGATGTCTAGTGGCTTTCTGGGATAGTCAGGGCTATCACTCTCTGAGCAACCATAAACTATAAGATCCCTTTTACCGTAGTTTCTCTGAGAATACAGAAAAAATAACCTATCCCATAATCTATTACCCAGTGTTACCTGCATTTTAATGTCTTTTTTCCCCACAAGTGTTATTTACATAGTTAAAACCTTCAGAATGTACAATGTTGTCTTCTGGTTTTTAGTTTACTATGTCATCATAAGCTTTTCTTTCTCTTTATCATAAAAAAAAAGTTCTTGGCGCTGAAACCGGTTTGGCTCAATGGATAGAGCATCGGTCTGCGGTCTGAAAGGTCCCAGGTTCGATTCTGGGCAAGGGCATGTACATTGGTTGTGGGCACATCCCCGGTGGGAGGTGTGCAGGAGGTGGCTGATCGATGTTTTTCTCACATTGATGTTTCTAACTCTCTATCCCTCTCACTCTTCCTCTCTGTAAAAAAATCAATTAAAAAATAAAAAATTTCATAGCAAACTTAATGTTAAAGGCTGTAACCCTCTATTGTTGGACATTAAAGCAGTTTCACATACCCCTTTTGTTATTAAAAATAAAGCCACCATATATGTCTTTGCTTGTATTCCTTCTAAAATAAATGTCAATTTTAAAATAATACAGAAAGGTACACAGAAAGTTTTAAAAATCACCCCAAATCCCATCACTTAACAAAGTCAGTGTTTAGAAAGGTGCTGTGGATGGAGCTTTGCTGGTCTCACAATGTTTGCCATTTTCAATTTTCAGAGTCTGGTGACTGCATCTATGCTGTTTGTAAGTCCCTGCTTATATAAATTCTTGGCACCCAGCCTCCTGGACAGAAATAAAACTAGATTGGTGGGTATATTTTGGAAGTGAGCCAGAATTGGTGAGCTGGAAGAGTCCTTATATTGCAGAATGCTGGAGATGGCCTTCAGCATCCTCTTCACACAGTAGCTTGGGAAAATACCTGAATTTAATGGCCATCATATTTCAATATGAAAAGGGGACTTATCTTCAGAAAATTATTGAAAGAATGGTTAACCCTTTTATCTCTGGACATTGGATTTGATAAATTTCCAGCTGCTGTTCTTTATTTTTTGTTATTGGACCAATGTTCTATATAAATAATTAGGATGTGACCATTAAATATTCAGAGTTTGTAACAATCAACCTCAGTAATGTCACTACAATATTACATTCTACAAATGTCATTCTGTTGTGTCAGATACCAGTTTTTAAAAAATATATATTTTATTGATTTTTTTACAGAGAAGAAGAGCTAGAGATAGAGAGCTAGAAATATCAACGAGAGAAAATCATCGATCAGCTGCCTCCTGCACACCCCCCGCTGGAGATGTTCCTGCAACCAAGGTACATGCCCTTGACCAGAATTGAACCTGGGACCTTTCAGTCCACAGTCCGACGCTCTATCCACTGAGCCAAACCAGTTTCAGCAGACACCAGTTTTTAAAAATATATATTTTATTGATTTTTTTTACAGAGAGGAAAAGAGAGGGATAGAGAGTTAGAAACATTGATGAGAGAGAATCATTGATCAGCTGCCTCCTGCACACCCCCTGCTGGGGATGTGCCTGAAACCAAGGCACATGCCCCTGACAGAATCGAACCTGGGATCTTTCAATCTGCAGGCCGAGCTCTATCCACTGAGCCAAACCGGTTTTTGCCAGATACCAGTTTTTAGTTAGGTATCTCTAAGGCACATAGAAAACAAATTTGGTAAATTACTCAAGTTTTTTTCACTGTGATTTGGAAATGCTATTTTTATAAAATGAGTCCTTAAAAAAAGTTTTCACACTGTAGTTACCATTCCTCTATGAAGAATGATTTACCTTAATTTTAGATTATTCCTTTAGTATAGGGGTGTCGAACTCAATCAGAGAAGGGGCCAAAATCTAAAATCCAGCCTAAATCGCGGGCCGAATGGTTTACTGAACAGTCATAAACTGTCATTGTGATGGAAATGCAGCGGAGTGCAGTGACGACAGCGCGGTGCGGGCCACATTGCAAGGCCTGGAGGGACGGATTTGGCCCGCGGGCCTTGTGTTTGACACATGTGCTTTAGTAGAACGAATAGGTCAAAAGATTTATCCTCATTTCAAGAAACGCCAAATTCCACTGCCCTGAAATCTCTAATGATACCTTACTTCTTTTGGACCGATTTTAAACTTCCAGGCCCATCAAGTGTCAGGAATGACCACAGCAGGAATATGCTTCCTTCTAAAAACAATGTTATTTAAGTTTGTAAAGGTGTGAGGTACCGATTTCGCAGAATCAGGAAAATGAAGCAACTTTAAGCTTGAGGAAGGCTCTCACGTGACGCCTCCACTTTTCCTTTAAATGTCTGCTCACGTGATAACAAACATGCGCGCGCACACGCAGGAAGTTCACGCAGTCGGGGTTATTCCTCCCCCACCTTCCCAACCCTAGGGTTTCTGCTGTTCACTCCATGAAACCATAACTCTTCTGGAGACTTCCTCTTCCTTATCCCCTTTCTGGTGTCACCTATTTCCACTCCTTTCCTTTCTGTGAGTCGCCGGTCCTAGAGCTCCATATAACCTACAGAATCCAACTTGCCGGAGGAAGGGGACGAAAACTACAACTCCCAGGGGGCGTCGCGGCGCGCAGTGTAGGTCGGGGGCTGAGGTCCCGCGGTCTTTTCACCGCGTGCGGCCGGGAGCAAGCGCACTACAGGTTCCGTGGCGCCTCGCGCGCGAGTGGGCGGACTGGGGCGGGACGGGGCGGGGCGGGGGCGGGAGCGGGAGCCCAGGGCTGGCTGGCGGGCCGGTGGAGGCAGGGGTGGGGGGCGGAGAGCGGAGGCGATGGAGGGGAGGAGTGGAGGAATGGGGGAGGGAAAGGGCTGGGAGGCGGGAGGCGGGGCCGAGCGGGAGCTGGAGCTGAAGCCGAAGCCTGAGCCGGCGGTTGCAGGGGAGGCGGTGATGTCGGTACAGGTCGTGTCCGCAGCGGCCGCCGCCAAAGTGCCCGAGGTGGACCTGAAGGACCTGAGCCCTTCCGAGGCGGAGCCGCAACTGGGACTGAGCGCGGCGGCCGTGAGCGCCATGGTCCCTCCGGCGGGCGGCGGCGACCCCGAGGCCCCAGCTCCCGCGGCGGAGCGGCCCCCGGCCCCCGGCCCGGGCTCGGGGCCAGCCGCTGCTCTTAGCCCTGCCGCCGGGAAAGTGCCCCAGGCGTCAGCCATGAAGCGGAGCGACCCTCATCACCAGCACCAGCGGCACCGCGACGGCGGCGAGGCCCTGCTCAGCCCCGACGGCACCGTTACCGAGGCGCCGCGCACAGTCAAGAAGGTATTGGGGCCGGGCGGCCTCTCGTGCAGAGAGAGGGAGGGAGGGAGGGGGACCGCACGCAGATCCTGTCGGCACCGCGGCACCATCCTCCACGCCCTCCCTTCCGATCACAGGAGCAGAGAGACCCTTCCCCCCCCCCTTAAACCCACTCTCAGGGATGCCCTCCACCGGCCCCGGTGCTGGGGAGCGAAGACTCCAGCCGGCACGGTCGTACTTCACTAGGAATAACATGGAGGGAGTGCTTTCCACTCCTACTTGGAATGGGCGAGGGGAAGAGGCACCTAAGAGTGCCCCTCCCTGCACCCCGAACGTACTCCCGGGTTATTTTTCAGCTTCTCCGGGGAGAAGACCCCGATGGTGCACAAAAACCTTCCCGCTTATGAGAGATCGCCCAGCCACAGGGGTGGGAAGATCTTTTCTGATTGAAGGAAGGAGTAAGCAGTGGTTACCTAGCACCGACATCCTCAGTGGTCTGGTTTCTGTACAGATGAGTACTTTGTGCCTTTCTGTGGTCAGCAGCTTCCACCGAGCAGTGCTGATGCTGTGTCCCTTCACTCTAGACATGCCATAGCCGTGCGTCTTCTCTGAATGAGGACGTGTCATGGAGAGGTTGTCTTTCACTCTTTTCAGAGGGTTGTTCTCCGTTCCGTAGTAGCTGGCCACCAGGATTATTAGACTGTATGTAGAGAGCATGATGCTTTATTGATTCCTTTCATTGTGATCTGAACGTGTTAGGAAGAAATGCTTCTACTTTTGGGAAAAGCTATCGTGGTGGGGCTTTGTGTCTCAGCTGCCAGCTTCTTTCGGATGTGGTTTGGAAGAGACAGTAGCCTTGGAGCAGCGGGGAGTAAGTGTGCCTCCATGTAGTACACTCCCTATGACCCTTACAATGCTAGGCTTAGCATGTCTCTCCTCTCATAAGGCTAACTCGGCACAGAAAAAAGGGGCGCACATTGGAAAAGACAGAGACGGGGATCATGTACAAAACGACTATGGCTCTAATTTCCGAGATATGTACAATATGGACACAATGATTTATGTGTGTGTTTTTATTGTTGGAAACGATTTTTAATTCTTTATCAGAACGGCATGCAAGTGTTGTGAAATCGGCATTGGTTTCACTGTAAGGATGCTGTGGAATTGGAACCGGCTTATTTTTAGTTGTAATAATAACCTCATAATTAAGTTATAAAGCAGATAATCCTTTCATTCTACGCACCCTGATATTGGTGATTAACAAGTGATGTCAGAGGTAAGCCTGAAGGAATTTGTTTAGTGATGCTTTGGGACTGTTTCCTTGTCGTTTGCAGTATGAAACTCCTCCAGAGCCACCTTTACTGCCTATATATGAGTCTGGAAATCTAGAACATGTTTCTGAGTAGTTTAGTTGCTTTATAACTTCAGACAAAATTTTCCTGCGATTAAGGGTGTGTTTTTTTTGTTTGTTTTGTTTTTGTAAAATGTGTAATTTGATTAGATCTCTTGAGGGTAAGAGTATTCAACAAACTGTTTTTGGAATGGGATTTACTGTCAAGAAGACCTGGTTTGAATCCTGGTTACCCCCTCCCCCCAAAAAAAGAAAAACTAGCTATTTTCAAATTCTCTAAATCTTAGTTTCCTCTTCTATAAGGATACGGTTATGATTGAGGATTAGAAGCATTAATAGAGGGCTTTAGCATTGAACTTGGTACATATAGTAGTGTCTTAAGAAATAATAGCTATTGTTATTAAGAATTTATTTTATTTCTCTTTCCATCATAGCTTAAGTGCATGCCCTTAGGACCACCTCCGAATTATACCAAATTCTATAAATTCTATAAAAATAAGTTTAAAAATTACAGGCCAGCATATCGGTCTTTTTTTCTTAATTTGAGGTGTGCTTCTTGACCATTTTTTCCTTGTTGCCAAACCACCTTCTTCCCGTTTTTCCAGTATAGAAATGCAGGCTCCATAATACTAGATTTACTCAGCACCTCAAGGCTATGGAAGGCAGGACCTAGCTTTCTGCACAGCGTTGTGGCTCAGTTGGTTGGGAATCATCCTGTACACTGAAGGGTTGCTGGTTTGATTCCCGATTGGAAGCTGATCCATGCTTTGCTTCCACATAGATGTTTCTCTCTTTCCTTTTCCCTTCCTCTCTCTAAAAATTAATACAAATACTTAGAAAAATTCTCGGCTGGATGTTAAGCAGGTATAACTCTGGGCAAGGATGCAGCTGTGTGACATAGCTGAAGGCTACTTTTGGGGGACAGAATCTTTAACTTTCTTGATATTGAATTGGTTAAATTATAAGTGCATGAGACTGCCCTGCTTTCCTCATGATGAAAGTCACCTCACCAAGGTACTACAGTGTGACATTCTGATATGTTGAGCCTTTCTTGATTCTTAGATTGTTTACTTAATCATTCTGACCTTGACTCCTGTTTTTATAGAGTGTAGGGAGAGACTGGGGTACTTGTGGATTGAAATAGCTGCCTTTGGCTGTATAATTGGTGACTGTTGCTTCAGTTTTGTAACTGTCACATATAAGTTTATTTATCTTAATTGACATTTCCATTGATGGTATCCCTTACTCCATTCATGTATCTGTCATCATTTTTCTTAGTTCTGTTACTCAATTCAGCCACACAAGGGAAATACACTTTTTCACAGGAGCTGGAATTCCCAAGTGTGGTAGTTAATAAGAATGAACATATGGTGTGTAGGTTACTTAGTCGCATCTTGTCTTTGGCACAAGTTACATCGTGTAATTTGTAATACTCTGAGGACCAGATCTAGTCATTGTGGCTCTGACATATTTGTATATAATGTTTTTCTTCATAAGCTCACACCAAGTGAATCCAACAAACCAAAAATCTTTATAAGAAGTGATTGGTGAAATGGGAAGAGTAGTTCTACCGTGAGTGGAGTGGTGAAGTGGAGAGGATTTCTTCCCTAAGTTCTTAAAAATTGAGTTATAGGAGTGTCACAGTACAGAAAACAAGGCAGAAGAGGCTGCTTAATGTTCAGAAACGTTAAAACTTTATGACAGTAAGGCTGTGAGCCAAGAACTGTAACTAGTTTGTGCTTACATCAGTATTGGTAATGACTATGTTCAAGCCGATGATTATTATTTTTTTTGGCAAAGGTATCCACCTTGCACTGGCTTTGTTGCTGTCAGCAGAGGATGAGTTGAGCCATGTTAGCACTTTCTTGCCTGAATTCTTTAAGCTCTTGATTTGGTTAATTATGGATTACTAAAATAGAATCTTTAGGATCTAGGCATGGGAATGTGGGAGCAGTGTGACTCCTCTTGCCAGTTAGGAAAGTACAGCCTTGCAAAATGTTCAATAAGGCAATTGGCATATTGACCCTAATAATAGTTATCATTAATTGGCCTTTTATATGCTAAGAATTGTTATAGGTGTTTTTTCTAATCCTGACAACAACACATTGAGATATAGGTGGCATTATCTCCATTTTACAAATAAGGAAATGGGGTCCAGAGAGATAAAGTGCCTTGCCCAAGGTTATATTGTCTAGAAAGTGGCAGAGGTAGGACTTAAATCTTGTCTCAAGCCTTTTTCTGTTTCTAAAGCCCCTCTTCTTTCCATTATGCCACACTAATTCTTTCTTTTTTGAGGACATGCTCATTGATTTCAGAGAGACAGAGAGAGAGGGTGGGTGGGAGGAGGGAGAGAAACATGGATGTGAGAGAAATATCCATCACTTGCCAAACCAGCAATCCAGGTCTGTGCCCTGGCCAGGGATTGAACCCACAACTTTTCTGTGTATGGGACAATGCTCCAACCAACTGAGCCACACTGGCTAGGGCCTTTCTAACTTGTTAGATGCTTGGTTCTGGTCTTCTCCCAGAAGTCTTGGAGAATACTCTTGAATTCCAAGGTATGTGTGTCTGGTTTAAGGCTTAGGTTATCCCAAAACCAAGTAAGAATCTGAGTCAGAGCGTTAGGAAGAAGAATGAGAAAAAATTGTACAAATGTAGGACTGCGAAGAATTATAAAATTAGGAGAGAGGAAGAAGAGCATCTTATAGAAAAAACATTTAAAGATAAATGGTGCATTTTCATGTTAGTAATTTACTAGTAACCTGAAATTTTATTCTTATTTAAAAAATTATAAATAGATATGGAATACCTAAGGAATATGCTTCCTCTTCCTGTCTAGCTAACAGTTTTTCCCTGTTCTTTAAGTCCTACCACCTTAGGACTTAGAATCATTCTCTACTTAAACATTTTACAGGTTAGGCTGAAACTGGTTTGGCTCAGTGGATAGAGCGTCAGCCTGCGGACTGAAAGGTCCCAGGTTCGATTCTGATCAAGGGCATGTACCTTGGTTGCAGGCTGAGGTGTGCAGGAGACACCTGAGGTGTGCAGGAGACACCATGTACCTTGGTTGCAGGTAGGAGGTGTGCAGGAGACATCTGATCAATGTTTTTAACTCTCTATAAGAAATCAATAAAATATATTTAAACAAAACAAAAAAAAATAACATTTTACAGGTTAGAATGGGAAGCTTATATTATACATTCTTGCTGTGTGCCAGGTATTGTATTAGAGCTTTCATATACTATTTTATTTACTCCTTTAATGAGCTCTCAGCCCTAGCCAGTTGCTTGTTCAGTGGTTAGAGCACTGACCCAAAGACTGAAGGGTCTCAGGTTTGATTCCAGTCTAGGGCTCCTGCCTCAGTTGCAGGATTGATCCCTGGGTCTCATGAGGAAAGCAGCCAATTGAGGTGTCTCACATTGATGTTTCTTCCTCTCTCTCCCCCTCTCTAAAAATCAACGGGAAAAATATCCTCGGATGACTATTAAAAAAAGAGCTCTCAGAGAGCGGTAGTGTTATCCTTATTTTATTGAGGGTTGAAGAGATTAAGGAATTTGTCTCAAGATTACACGTTTAGTAATATGATGGAGCTGACAGAACTCTAATCTGTTTGACTTCAAACTCAGTTGCTTTTCAGTTGAAATATTTCTCTGTTCAAATCTCAGATTGAATC